CGAACAGAGAAGAGGTCCTGAGGCAACCACTATTCTGCAACTCCTGGATCACCGATCCCAGTGGCTGTCTCTTATACACATCTAGATGTGTATAAGAGACCCCCCCCGCCCAGTCCGCGTCGGGCTGCGCCCCGGCCGTGACACATCCACCGCATGCAGATGTCAAAAAGGCGACGGTAGTCATAACAACGCACCAGGAATCTGTATCACCGGAACAGGACATAGTTCGCAAACACCCTCATTGCACGTTGGCAACACGCTTCTCACCCATACCCACAATCTCTACTTCGAAGTCTCAACTATCCAATCAGCAGGTAATTAGAAGGCGAGAGAAGAAGTCACCCCACCAACCAACAGAAAAAGAGGAAACATCAACACAAAACCAATAAACCAGAAAAAAAGGAAAACAACGAAAACTCAAAAATATAAAAAGGAAAAAACAACACCTGCCCAACCCCCCTGAATTTTAAAACAAAAAAAAAAAGAAAAAGAAAAAAGTCCTTTTTTTTTGTGTGTGTGTGTGCCGTCACAAACTGCCCAACCAGTTACCAGGTAGTCGGCCCTTCCGCTGATCTATTGAAAAAAAAAAAAAGAGGAAGACTTTGAAAACTAAACACAGCGTGGAAGCCTTCATCAACCCACTTAGCCGCTGGTATCAGGTCACATTGTACTTTCGTTTAATCTTCCAAATTACCTCACTAGCAAGGAACTCTGATACCATCTCCCCCATAACCAGAAGTGACCCCAGAGTCGAACAGAGCATTGATTTCTCTCCCCTCCCAGGCCAAGATGGCCACGTCAGCCCCAATCACCTTCCAGCGCCGCTTCTCTTCAGTAGTGGCAGCCAACACCAGGAATGCAGAAAAAAACCCACACTCGAACGGAGCACTGGTCGACCATGAAACCCGCTTTCTTTTGGAATCGCCTCAAATTAAAGGAGAAAAGGTAATCAAGAAGGTACAACAAGAAGGTGAAGAAAAGGAGATCATAGTCTGGTGCTATCCTAAGGAGAAAATCGAATCCACCAATGCCATGTACGCGAAACACAGGTTAGTTTTCACTTTCTCCAACACAGGGGCTCGCCTCCCAGAAATTGAAAAACGCAAATGGATTACAAGGACAGTGCAGGGACACGAAAATCTAAGGTCCAACACTGACAAATTCTCCATTCTAGTACTCAGCAAGAATATGATGATGGTTGTTTTCAAAGACGCCGATCAGGCGTCCAATCTGATCAGCAAACACACCACTCTGAACTGCAACGGTTCAGTGTGCTCCCTGTCCCGCTGGAAGCAGGAGACAGCACAGAAAGCCATGATCTCCCCGGCTACGGCGCAAAAACAGCGTCTCATGAGGGACCAATTCTGGGTCCAGTTCGACAACATCCCAATCAGAGGTCACCCACTGATCAAAGACAGATTGGAGGTGGAATACCCAAACAACAAAGTTCTGAAGTGGGTACTTCCAACTCCGGAATTCCTGGCCCCTCACTGTGACTCCATCACCACGGTTTTGGAAGTAAACACGGAATCTAACCCCGAATTCCCGGAGGAATGGGAATTTTGCATAGGGGAGGAAGCATCCTCGGTAACTGTTTCAACGAAAGATGCCCCTATCTGTTTCAGGTGCAGGGAGAGAGGACACCTGGGCACGGACCCTGCGTGCCCGAGATCCCCTGAACACTCCAAAGAGAAGAAACTGAGACAGAACATGCTGGCGGAAGTCGAAGAAGCGAAGGGAATATGGTTCGTTAACGACCAGGACTACAACGGTTGGGTCTTCGACGACACCATCGACGATCCAAAATGGATCTGGACATATAACACGAACCCGTCCACGAAACAGCCAGACATATTCCCTCCATCAGATAGCAGATGGCACGCAGTGGGAGCAAAAAAAGTAACATGTATCCCTGGCAAAATTCACAAGGATCAGATCATCGACCCACGGGTGATCAGGGAAGAGAAAAAGCATGAAGACTTGTTGTGGGATATGGAGACAATCAGGACCAAGACAGCAGAGACGTGCCAGAACACCAACCTGGATAACAGCACCTTACTGCAGGAAGCGAAACAGACCCTAGAACACCGCCACCCCAAACCGGAGACCCCCCTTGCACTCAAGCGGAACGCCTCTCCCTCCGCCAAGATTTGCCAAGAGGACAGGGTAGGGAAGAAGAGAAGGGCAACGGAGGAGGGTTCAGGTATGATTCTCAGATTCGAAAGCCACCCCGCTGACGACACTCTCCCCGGGACAGACCAGAAATCACCAACAAACACCAAAACAGAAATGGACACCTCACAAGGCAAAGCAAGCCCCATTCCCTGGCTCGAGGAATACCTGCAGAGAGCAAAATACGAAAGGGAAAAGGAGTTCGACATCAGGCTGGCATGCATGAAACATCTAGAGAAGACAGGGAAACCAGCCAACGGGAAAACAGTGGCTGGAATCCCGCAGTCGAAGAATTTTTTCGACCTGTTGCGAATGAACTCCGAACTCTCGGAGTTCAGCGCTTTCAGGTACCACGAGAAGAAGAGGGAAAGAGAGTCCGTTGGAACAAGCACCGGCACAGGATTTGACCCCCAGACTTCGGCAGATTCCATCCGCGACATGGTTTCCAAAAACTGGAAACCGTCGAAGGGAAGGGACAAGAGACCAAGGGGCCCCCCCAAAGACAAAGCAGGCAGCAAGAACGAACAGCGCAGACTCACGCAGGAAATTGCAACAGTGGCAGCACAGACAAAAAGACTGTTCGAACAGAACCAGGATTACAAGAAGGAACAAGGAGAGAAGTTCATAACAGTGCGGATGATCGCGGAGAACAAGGTGCCTGACATCCCCAAATCAGCAAACGCAGACAGGGGGACCATCAGGTCGGTAAGACCGCTGCTTCCAGTCCGATTTAGGAGCAAATTCAACGAGTGGCAGGTGGCCACAGACGCAGCGTTCATGTTCCCCACCCTCAACGACGACAGAGCCCTGGCCAAGAGCATCAGGGACAACATCACAGCGGAGACTCTGCTGGGGGTATACGGGGTCCCACCACGAGAGCAGACAACCGAAGGGAAGACGCTGGAGGAGCCGATCATCACCCCCTTCGACCCCATCCTGGTCAAGCTCGACGAGAGAGCAAAACTCAGCGAAGGCCTGACCTGGAGGGCATGGGACACAATTACAATGTTGCTGTACAACGTGCTGAACGAAAGATTCAGCACGACCGACATCATTGCAGATTCGCTGGCTGACGTCATCAGGACCCGCCTATTGACCTCCAAGACCTCGCTGCAGGACGAGGCAACCCCCATCGACATGGACATGGGAAGAGAAGATTCCGACATGGAAGACGAGGAGGAGGGAGAGAGGGAAGCGGATAACAAGATCTTCCAAGGGGGAGACGACGCTGGGCCAAAAACGATGTCGGAGAGTAGCGCTGGAGAGTACGGCTTAAGCTCATCAGCAGCAAGCGAGGACAGCAGGGACTCCGACACCGATAGCAGCAAGACCCAGGCAGTTGTGGACTGAATTAACCTACCACATCAGAATTACAACCCCACCCCATAAATAAATGAAAACACAGCGCCAAGGACCAAAGAAAAACAGGAAAAATAAAAAATAAAAAAAAATCAGCAATGCAGAGAAACACAGCAAGCAAGAACGGGCAAATCAGCCCTCCCAGAATAAACTGGCACACTAAAGGGCTCCAGATAATTAGCTGGAACGTCAACGGCCTCGGGAACATCCTGGCCGACGAAGACAAGCTCAGAGATATCAGGACAGGTCTGGTGGGGAAGGACACCCCCAAACCCGACCTCATACTCCTCCAAGAAACCCATCTTTCCAACCTGAACAGTCACCCAAAGATACAACAGAGGATGGAGAGATCATTAGGAGGATGCGCAGTCGCACTATGGTCCAACAGAGACGGGCAAAGCAACAGAGGGACAGCGATACTGATCCCAAGAACGTCCAAAATCCTGACCGAAGGGCAGATCCTAAACAGCGAGGGTGACAGCGGGGAAGGGAGATGATCGTGGATGGACATCAAGTGGGAAGGGGAGGACCTGCGAATTATCAACCTCTACGCACCAAGCACGGAATCCGACAGACTAATCTTCTTCGAGAACATCAGATCCCTCATTCCCAGTCCACAACGAGTAATCATCGCACGGGACTGGAACACAACCCTGGACCCGAACCTGGATCGGATATCAAGTATGGTACTAATGGGACCCACAAGAGCGGGCACCAGGATTCAAAACCTGATTACTGAAATCGAACTCTGCGACCCTCTCAGGGCACTGCATCCGGACAAGAAAACCTTTTCCCGAATAAGGAGGAACCAAGCCAACCGGACGTCACTGTCCAGAATTGACTATTTCCTCATATCCGAGAGCCTGCTCGGAACAATCAAAGAGGCCGAAATCCTCCCATCAACAGCCTTCAAGGGTCTGGATCACAAACCCATCCAGATGCTGCTCAACTTCAATATACCAATTCAAATAGGCCACGACTTCTTCAAGATTAACAACTCACTAATAAAAACCGAAAGAATGACGGCGACAGTCCAAGCAAACTGGGCCTTTAATAAACAGCGAGAGTCAAGGAGGACAAACAACCATCAGTGGTTCATTGACAGCTACACGGAACTAACACAGACAGTATCAGAAGAATCTAGAGACATTGCTAGAGACCGAAAAAGAAGAAAGGACGAACTCCAATTTGCGATAACCGTCGCAGAAGAAAATCTGGCGGAAGACCCAACCAGTAGTTTCTACCAAGAACTACTAGATGACACCAAAGAAGAACTAAATGAATGGAGAAGATGGGAACTGAGAGGTCTACAAATACGAGCWAGRATGACAGACTATGCACTGAAYGAGTCTATGAYAAAATTCTTCTTCTCCAAAATCAAGGCGAACGCTAGGAACAACATGATAGAGGCACTCAAGGATCCATCGGACGCAGGACAAACGAAAACAAYAGGCCCARAGATGGTAGGGATAGCCAGAGCCTTTTACGCAGATCTSTACGAATCCAAGACCCCCTCACCCCCGACAACARCGAACCTAGAAGCCCGTCAACTGATGCTAACGTAYCTCGACAAAACCATCKCGACCAGTCAGGCGGAAAAACTAGATAAACCACTGACSCTGACCGAACTACACACARCCTTGAATCAGATGGGAAATGACARAGCCCCGGGCATCGACGGCCTCTCTAAGGAATTTTGGAGCTGCTTCTGGTCGACCTTGGGAGAGGACCTACTCGASTTTTTCAATSATAGCATGCGYAAAGGAGGCCTAGGTAAGGAAYTGAGYACCAGCGTGGTCTCACTGTTATACAAGAAGGGAGACAAAGAAGACCTGAAAAACTACAGACCTATCTCCCTTCTAACCACGCCATACAAAATCCTAGCCAAGGCGCTGGCGAACAAAATTACAAAACTGACGAACAACTGTTTTCACATCGACCAAGCGGGATTCATACCAGGTCGATACATACTGGACAACGTGATGACTCTGAATGAGGCGGCAAAAAAGATAACGGAAAAACGAATGAAGGCAGCAATCCTGTTCTTCGACTTCGAGAAAGCCTACGACCAAGTCAACTGGGATTTCCTCCACGCTTGCATGGAAAAAATGGGTGTACGCCCGATCTTCAGAAGCTGGGTGAGAATCCTGTACGCAGACGCAACAGGTAGAGTCCAGGTCAACAGAATCCTATCAGAAACCTACCCAATCTCACGGTCAGTCAGACAAGGCGACCCATTGGCTCCCCCCATATTTCTCTTCATAATGGAGGCCATAGCCTCATTTCTCCGAAAAGATCCGTCCATCGACCGCCTCACAGAACGGAACTTCAACCCGCTACACGACTTCGCCCTACCCACTGCACTCATGTCCGCCGACGACCTCACGGTACTCATTCGAGCACACAACAACTCCTTCCAATCACTGGTAAAAGCAATGGAAGCATACAGACTGGCTTCAGAGATGAGGGTCAATTGGAACAAAACCGAAGGATGATGGTTAGCAGACGGTACCCCTCCCCAACCTCCGGACACAACTACACCCATGAATTGGACCACCGGAGTACAAGCACTACGGTTCCTGGGCATCATGGTCAACAAGGAAGGAGTGTGGCCAGGAATGGGCCATAATCTAATAGCAAGAGCAATCACCCGCCTGGCCCTGTGCAAAAAGGCCTAGGCCTCACTAATCGGGCGGGTGCTACTTATCAACACAGCGATCTTCTCTACATTGTGGTACATGGCATCAATTTGGTCCCCCCCTGACGACGACCTCAAGGAACTCAAGAACAGGGTGAGGTGCTACTTGTGGACAGGTGACCCCAACAGGACCACCTGCATCAATAGGGTCGCATGGAACCATATCACTAGGAAGCCACAGGAAGGAGGCCTAGGGATAATCGACCCAAAACAGGAGTCCATAGCACTGCAGATGAAATGGATAATCGAAGATTCTCACCAAACAATTCCTCCCGTGGACCCATATGGCGCTAGACAGCATTAGAAATCTGGCTTCCATCAACTCCCCTCGAAATATGAACGGCCTGTTTTGGATTATGGCAAAGAACTGGACAATCAAGTCTGGCAGATCACGCGGAAGACACCCCGCACAGCACAATCCTGCACAACTCAACACAAACCCATCTCACACAGCCAACATTTATTGGAGCCCCACCATCAAAGCCTGGAGCAAAATGATGCCGAACAAACATGGGGCGCCAGCGAACAGTGAAGAGGTCCTGAGGCAACCACTATTCTGCAACCCCTGGATCACCGATCCCAGTGGAACTACCTGGACCCTACGCGCTAGGGACCGCAGATGGTTATCTTGGGTAGAAAAAGGAGTATGGCAAGTCAAGCACATCTGGGCAGAAGAACAAGGAAGGTGGGCAACGGATCAGGAACTATGCAACACATTAAAAGGCTGCCACTCCCTCGCCGACAACTTAGCACTGATTCAAAATAACATTCCAAAACAATGGCTCCCCCTCCTAAGAGAGGGATTCCAGTCAAGCACATCGTGGAAGTCCGGGGACTGGGGCATACCAGTCGCCCAAGCCCAACCTACCAGAGCATACAGATTCGTCGCTAGAACAAATCCACCCGGATACCTATCAAAATTATATTCCTACCCGGTATTGAAACACAACACGAACGAAATGGAAGTCCAGAACAACGACCCCCAGAGCGAGATGCTGGAGACTTTCCGACTGAGAAAAGTGAGGGTATCAAAATCCAAACCCTGGAAAATCTTCCGACCGGATCTCTGCATCTCAGAACTAGAATTTGACCCGAAAGAATGGATATGGAAACAGGGGAACTCCGGCAGGACGAGAACGATAACAGAATACGATGTCAAATTCGGCTATGAGCTAGGCCTACAGACCACAGACCCAGATCCCAGACTCAAAAGCAAATGGAGGGATATTTTGAGTCTGGACCCCTCGACCCCCATATCCATCCCGTGGACGAAATTCCTAACCATTAGACCGGCAAGGATTAGCACCACTGCCAACCAATCAATGGCTTCATAAGAGGAGAAAACACACAGACCCTGACAGCACTGATATATGCAGACTTTGCACAGTCAATGCCGTAGAAGACGTACTCCACTGCCTCCTATACTGCACAGAAGCAGCATGGGTATGGAATAAAGTGCGCGACCTATGGACCATCCTTTTCTCATCACCTCCCCCGGCCACAACCCCCCTGAACATCCTGCTCCTATCTAACGACACTAACAATCTCAAAGGCGGCAAGGATATCTGGTTCCATCTACTCAGAAAGCTGGCTCTATGGGTTATCTGGAAGAGGAGATGCTCCAAGACGATCGAAGGAACTGAAGTGCCAAGAGAGGAAATGTGGGCTCTACTGCTGACAGTGGCTGAAACAGAGATACGATCCAGATGGAGAGAAGTGACCATGACAACGAAAGGAAGACCAGAAAGGATAGCCACAAAGAGACGCAAATTCAAAAGGGACTGGCTCTTACAGGGAAAGATTGCCACTGTGGCGGACAACAGGATGGTTTGGAAGAAGTGGTATACCACAAGAACAGGGACTCAATGAAGAGCAAACTGAGATTGTAATCTCAACAGCCTAGACAACTCTCCCCTTTTCGTGCTTTATACGAAGTATCTGACAGAGATAGCATAATCTCTGAGAGGAAAAGAGGTAGGGCAAGCTGACAGTCAATCCTCCGGATAGGGAGCAATCAATGCTGATCAGGGTTCCTTCGGCCAGACGGAGGGAAGCGTGAGGGTGTTCACCATGTATTTCAATTTTGACTTGCCGGTGGAAAGGAACCGGACTGACGCTCCCCAGAATGGATAAGGAGCCAGG